TTCCCTTTATTTAATTTGGTAAACAGTTAATTTGGGCCACAGGCCCACAGCCATATTTAAGTAGGCTAATTTCATCGGAAAAATTTATGCCTATATATATTTCGCTCCTTCCCTAATCCTCGTACCTATTCCTGTGTTGCTGTTAAATCTGATAAATTTTTGAAACAAAGATGGGAAACGGTATTTTAACCGCGTACAATTTTTGAAAGATTGTTTTTAGGAAAATTTTCAATTTCCACACGAATTTGATCTTGAAATTCTTCGAATTTCAGGTGAGAAAGGTCGACCCAGTAAAAAGATCAAGCTTTCCAAGGTTCTCTTCGAATTTTTTATTTTATTTTTACTACCGAGTTTTTTCCCGCCAAATCATACTCATTTTTTGTTATTTTTTTGAACTGAAGGAGGATTATAGGGCTTCCGCTGCTGAAGACGAGGCTTCTCATTTCCCTGACGACGATGATATTCGTGATGGTATTTATAATTACTTATTTTTATTGCACTCTGGATTTTAGAATTTTATTTTTGTTTCTGGTTTTGTGCTAATATGGAAGAATTGAGTGATTTGAATGATTTGGTATGGTTTTAAGCCGAAGGGAAAAAGAGGGATTTTTCAAAACTGGAACTTAAACCTGACCATGCCAATCGTCCGCTGTGGGCTTGTGCTGATGGTCGGATTTTCCTTGAAACTTTCTCCCCGCTGTACAAACAAGCCTATGACTTCCTCATTGCCATTGCTGAACCCGTTTGCAGGTATCATTTTACCCAATTTATTGTGATTCCACGCATTTGCATGTTTGATCCCTTGTTTACGTACTATGATACAAAAATTTGGAGTTGATAGCTCATAGCAGTATGAGTCTACTGCAAAGGGGGGAAATTAAAAGGAATAATAACTCAATAGTTGTTGTACTTTGGAAGAGAGGTACAACTGATATTGAGCTACTACACTTGCACTTGCTGGTGTATTGAATTTGAGTATAATTGAAATAGGATTTGATTTATGTATTTTCTGTTTTACAGGCCGGAGTCAATGCATGAGTACAATTTGACGCCACACTCTCTATATGCCGCTGTGTCTGTGGGACTTGAAACAGAAACAATAATATCTGTTTTGAATAAATTGTCAAAGACAAAGCTTCCTAAAGATATGATTGATTTCATACATAGTTCAACTGCCAATTATGGCAAAGTGAAACTTGTGCTGAAGAAGAATCGATACTTAATAGAATCCCCATTTCCCGAGGCAAAATAGTTTGACCCTATTCATTTTTTGAATTTATATAGTAGAGGGCAAATCTAGGACTTACTTATTTATTTTACTTTACCAATGAATGTTTGCAGGTGTTAAGAAGGTTGCTCCAAGATGAAGTCATAGCACGGGCAAGAATATCATCTGAGGTACATGCGTAAGGCAATTGGTTCTCTGACTAGTTTTACAGTCACTCGACATCTTCAAGTTTAATTGAATTTTGAAAATTCAAATAGTAGAGCTTTCCTTTCTTATTTGGCGCATGGCTCAAATATGTTGAATTCTGTTGGTACAGGGGGTGCATGGAAGTGATGGTTTTACGGTTGGAAAATCAGCAGGTGAAATAGTTGGCGGACATGAGCTGCTAAATGAAGAAGAATTGGCTGCTGCAGCTGAAGAGAAAGAAATTCATTCATTTGAAATTGACCCTGCACAGGTAGGTTAATT